AAATTGTTTGGCGTGACCGTAAATTAATTTTTTGTAAACAACAATAAACACTGAAAAAACTTTTGCATTAACAATCCCAGTTCCGTAGCGATAATACAATTGCGTCCGGAAACGAAAATGATTTAGGAGCTTTCTTTTAGTGTTCATCTATCTATCTATCTATCTATCTATCTATCTATCTACTATCTATCTATCTATCTATCTATCTATCTATCTATCTATCTATCTATCTATCTATCTATCTATCTATCTATCTATCTATCTATCTACTATCTATCTATCTATTTATCTATCTATCTATCTATCTATCTATCTATCTATCTATCTATCTATCTATCTATCTATCTATCTATCTATCTATCTACCTATCTATCTATCTATCTATCTATCTATCTATCTATCTATCTATCTATCTATCTACCTATCTATCTATCTATCTATCTATCTATCTATCTATCTATCTATCTATCTATCTATCTATCTATCTATCTATCTATCTACCTATCTATCTATCTATCTATCTATCTATCTATCTATCTATCTATCTATCTATCTATCTATCTATCTATCTATCTATCTATCTATCTATCTATCTATCTATCTATCTATCTATCTATCTATCTATCTATCTATCTATCTATTCTATCTATCTTATCTATCTATCTATCTATCTATCTGTCTGTCTGTCTATCTATCTATCTATCTATCTATCTATCTATCTATCTATCTATCTATCTATCTATCTATCTATCTATCTATCTATCTATCTATATATCTATCTATCTGTCTATCTATATATCTATCTATCTATCTATCTATCTATCTATCTATCTATCTATCTATCTATCTATCTATCTATCTATCTATCTATCTATCTATCTATCTACCTATCTATCTATCTATCTATCTACCTATCTATCTATCTATCTATCTATCTATCTATCTATCTATCTATCTATCTATCTATCTATCTATCTATCTATCTATCTATCTATCTATCTATCTATCTATCTATCTATCTATCTATCTATCTATCTATCTATCTATCTATCTATCCATCTATCTATCTATCTATCTATCTATCTATCTATCTATCTATCTATCTATCTATCTATCTATCTATCTATCTATCTATCTATCTATCTATCTATCTATCTATCTATCTATCTATCTATATCTACATATTGCGCACAGTAGTTTTATTAATATGTTTTTCATGGACGGACACAGCTTAAGTGGATTAGAAAATGATTCCAAACCGATACTTTAAGCTAACTGGAGGACCGACATCAAAACAAACAAATAATAAGTTATTATTTGTTATTATTAATAACAAATCGATGCGATACTCACTTTGGTGTTGCAATGCCGGCACCATTTAGAAGTGTGTAGGAGACATGTTCTTGAACGTTTAAGTTACGTTTCTGTTGACATTGAGCAGCAACAACTGAACCCAAAATCTGTGAAAAAGAAAACAAAAAGAAATTAAAGAAACTAATCTTAAAAATTCAAACAATTCAAAATTAAATTATAGCAATAAAAGAGAATTTATTAAAATTTCTAAAACCCCCCAAGAATTCTTCAACTAATCACGAAAAACAAAAAAAATATATACCTATATTGTTACTATAGCAAGAAGTTTCAAGGTTATTTTTGTTCTAAAAAATTTTGCGGCATAAATATGATAATCAAAAAATAAACAAAAACTAAAAAAAATGTCTGATTTCAAACGAAAAAAAAAAAAAATAACAAATACCACGATGGCAGAAACTAAATAACAAAACAAGTCACGCGATTAGAAGCATAAAATGAGTCATATGGTTAAAACTACCGATCGAAGCAAACGATCTTCAAAAATCCAGTAAAATTATTATACAGTGACGTCAAATATGGAGCAAGAAATTGCCGGTAAGAAAACAGATAAGAATATTTAAATGGTTTTGTTGTGTTAAATACAAATTAGAAATAAATGACGAAACTAGTTTAGAAATTTTGCAAATTAATCAGAAACTAGATTTATTTACATATGTTTGTTGTTGTCTTGAAGTACAAGGTTTTTTAATTGATTATTGACCATCACCTTGATCAATAAAAAAATCTGTAGAACGAACTTTTTTTGTAAATGTATACAAAAAAGTACCTTCACTTTTTTGGCTACACACAAAAAATCAACAACAAAAAGCTTACTGCACTTTTCCTCTCCCACCCCCTTCGAACAATTGCACGAAGAGAAAATAGAACGGAATGGCAACACATTTCTCTAAATAAATTCCATGAGAAAAAAATTTTCTTCTTTATGTTACGTCACAAATTAATTTGTTGAAATTAATTTTCATTTTTCCATTTTATTGCTTTATTTTTTTGTTTTTTATATCTTTTAACACTTTTTTCAACAACTTCCCCTTTTACTCTCTTCACCTGTTGTCTAAATTCAAGGCTTTTTTCAATGAAATTTCGCCAATTATGTAAAAGTGTTTAAAATTTATTTTTGCAATTTTATAATTTTTTTATCTATTTTTATACCTTTTGGCCAACTTTTTGATTAATAATTTCGGCTACAACACCGGTGCGTGCTATCAATGATGCCATTTCTCTTTTTGTTTGGATTCTATTTAAAAATATTATTAAAAATATATAAATTAATTATTATTATTTTATAACGCGTATTTATAATACAAAATAAATTTATTAACTAATGAAATGAAAAATTTGTCAAAGCTTTCGTACCGTAAAAAAAAACTAAACGTCAAGAAGAATGATTTTCGAATGAGACAAATTAATTTTTTATTTGTATAGGCAGTACTGTTTGTAAATTTGGCATCACTAAAATAAAGTAAAGAGCTTTTGACACAAATAACATTTAGCTATCTGGCAACGACAGCTTTGCTTAGGGTGGCTAAAATGGCAGCTCCCTATAATTTTGTGGTGTATTACTAAGAGGTGAAAAAATGCGCAAAGTTAGTTGAATTTGAAAGAAATTTAAATGAAGAATATAAAAAAAATAGATAGGTATATAGATTTTTAGCGAAGTTCAATGTACCCCAGCAAATAAAGTTCTTGCGACCAACTGTAAGTTAGTTATCCAGAAATATTAAGAAACATATACAAATTCTTGCTGGTCTTTTTGATTTTCGATTCTCCATTTTGAACGCTTTCATCGAAGACTATAAAGAAAAAATAATGATAATAAAGTATTTTATAAAATTAAATATGAAAAAGTCTTTTGCATTTCCCGCCAGATTACCCACAAAACTTCTCATATTCAAACGAAATCATCTGGCAACTTCATTTTGAAGTTGTCATTGAAAAATAAAAAACAACAAACACCAAATGAACCGTTATAATTATTTACTACAGAAGAGTAATTTGCCAAAAAAAAAGCAAGATAGAAAAAAATAAAAATTCCATTCAGTTGAGTGAGCATCAATTACATCGTTTATTACAATTACGAGTGATCAGCGATCGTAGTAAAAGAATGCAATGTCAACAACAACAACAACAACTGCGACAACGTTTAAAACGAAAATTAACAGCGTTTCGAACGGTTGCAGCCTAGCAGCACTCAAAGAACACATAACCACGTGTCTTCAGCGTTGGCGGCAAAAACACTCCACAAACACCAACGAAAGGCACAAACCAGCAGAAGGTGAATACCAGCAACACACCCACTCCCAGCACAAACAGCGGCCTCCCGAAGAAAAGTGTTATTGCCACTTTCAGCACAACTCGAGTCGATGTTGCTTTGGTAAGCACAAGGAATTTACCTTTATACAACGTACCACCTTCTACATCAATAGAAAATTCCAAAAACTAATCTCAACACATCAACGACACATAATCAACAGTCGCAACAGTGCGACCGTTAACGATTGTAAGGGCCCTCGTAAATACGGTCGTAAAGTTGAAATTGTTGCCAAGTTGTTGTCGACCACATTGATAGCAAAAGCTAAGACCACCTCTTCGCCCACGGCCACCGAAGATTTTGGCCAACAAACTGATGATCATCACATTTATAGGTGTTTTAAGGAGCAAATACAGGTAATACAAAGTTCCACAACTTCCTCGACATCGGATTACTACGGAGACAACGCCATGACTATAACGGATTTAACGTTTCTGGAGATACGTGAAGAATATCCAGATTTAAATTCGGAAATTCGTAGTATTTTAACGGCACGTGCTCAAGATGGTGCCAGCATATCAGAAATTCGGGGTAAGTTAAAGTTTTTGCAAGTTTTTTTTTCTTTATTGAAAGATAATGGCAACACGTGTCGTTAATTTAAATGATCACTTCATTCATAATGAAAGGGGACATGCTCGCCTGTCCATCTGTTCCTCTGATTAATTATCAGAAGGGTTTTTGTATTGAACATTTTTCTCTTTTCCAGATGACTATCGAAAATTAACTGGCTTACCCTTTCCCATTTACGAAGATGTCACCGAATTTCTCCTAACCATTCCCTACGTTATGGCCTATTGTAGTGAAAAAGGTACAAGAATATTTAATATCATGCCAATGGAGAAAACAAAACATATACACGATATGGTAATGCATCAGAAACCACAGCCAGAACCTCAACAAAGACCTTCAACGGGAAATCATTGCTATTATCGAGAACGTCAACGTAACAGCAATTATCAGCCTCAGAATTGGCGTCACAATACCAGTCGTAGATTACAACAAAATATGGTTAATCTTTATGCTGAACCCGTTAATGTAGAGCAGCAGGAACAATTAATACCTTCTACCGATAGTAATATGTCGCGAGATGGTTCGGAGGGATTCTTTGAGAACAATTGTTATTATCAAGATAATTGTAATTATTTGTAAGTCCTCAAAATCGAATGAATCCAAACGTTATCATTAAACATTATTTCTTTTTTAAAGATTTAATCGCATTTGTAATCAACAACAGCCCCCTCTAACCACTCAGCTTATAGAAAATCCTCCTATGGAGCAGGCTCCTCCAGTAGCATTAAAACCTGCACCTCTACCGCCCACTGCTAACCCGGGCACCTCCACAGCTTTAAATAATTTCAATACTGATATACCATGCTATAAAAATAATGTTAATCATTTGAATAATTTATTTCAAATCCAGCAGCAACAAGAACAGTATCAATATCATCAGAATGTTAACAATGTGGCCACCATAGATAATAGACGTTCTTCTCAAAATCCTTTTAAGACAGGCATGCCACGTTCAAGTAGATCATCATCTCCCACAACCAAAAGTTGGTATACAAATGATTCTGCATATACCGATAGTGATTATGAAGCACACCTTTTGGATTTTTTACTATTGGGAGATGATTTCTTCCTGTATATGGCCCGTATGGAATTGAGATGTAAATTCAAGAAAAGTAAATACCAAAAAAAAAAAACTAAATATTTAAATTAATAAAACAAAATTTCACAAATTTCTTTTTTTTATTTACCAGATCAACGAGTTTTACAATCCGGCCTTTGTGTATCGGGTCAAACGATTGGCGCTGCCATTAAACGTATACGAGCCTTAAGCGATAGTCGTCGTTCAGTTATTATAAATATTGGCTCAGTGGATTTAATGCAGGGAAGACAATTAATACAAATAGAACATGATTTTCGTGAACTATTATTGACAATGCTGAAAAAAGGCATTAAACCAATATTAACAACATTGGCTCCCTTGGCTAATTATAGTCATAATTGTGATTTGAAACGTTTGCTGGAACGATTTAATGAATTCATTAAAAGAGAAGGTCAACATAGAAATTTGGTGGTGATAGATATTTGGAAGTGTTTGGTGAATGAAAAAGGACATGTATTTTTCGATTGCTATCAGAAGTGAGTAGAAAATATAAATATTTTATAATTAGTTTTTTAAACTTAAATATAAAAGTTCAAGAGATTAAACGTTTTAAGATTAAGGTAGGAGGAAAGCAAAATTTTTTGTCCAAAATTCGTTAAGTTTCCAATACTAATTAGTAATTAACTCACATGATAGAAAATAAAGTTTTCCATAAAAGGAAAGTATGTAATAGATAATAAAGTTTTCTATAGAAAATTGATCGAATGATCGATGATAAAGTTTCCTATAGTGTTCGTTGATAAAATTGTCTATAGATAAATGATCGATGCTGAAGTTTTCTTTGGAAAAGTGATTGATGTTGAAGTTTTGTATAGAAAACAGGTCGATATTGAAGTTTTGTATAAAAAACTCATCGATGTTGAAGTTTTGTATAGAAAACTGATCGATGTTGAAGTTTTCTATAGAAACCTGATCGATGTTGAAGTTTTCTATAGAAAACTGATCGATGTTGAAGTTTTCTATAGAAACCTGATCGATGTTGAAGTTTTCTATAGAAAACTGATCGATGTTGAAGTTTTCTATAGAAAACTGATCGATGTTAAAGTTTTCTATAGAAAACTGATCGATGTTGAAGTTTTCTATAGAAAACTGATCGATGTTGAAGTTTTCTATAGAAAACTGATCGATGTTGAAGTTTTCTATAGAAAACTGATCGATGTTGAAGTTTTCTATAGAAATGTGATCGATGTTGAAGTTTTCTATAGAAAACTGATCGATTTTGAAGTTTTCTATAGAAAAGTGATCGATGTTGAAGTTTTCTATAGAACAGTGATCGATGCTGATATTTTCTATAGTAAACTGATCGATGTTGAAGTTTTCTATAGAAAAGTGATCGATGTTGAAGTTTACTATAGAAAAGTGATCGATGCTGATATTTTCTATAGTAAACTGATCGATGTTGAAGTTTTCTATAGAAAACTGAATGTTGTTGAAGTTCTCTATAGAAAAGTGATCGATGTTGAACTTTTCTATAGAAATGTGTTCGTTGTGTAAGTTTTCTATAGAAAAGTGATCACGATCACTATAAAAAACTGTCCGATGTTAAAGTTTTCTATAGAAGAGTGATCAATGTATCTCTTTTCTAGAGAAAAGAGATAGATGTTGAAGTTTTCTATAGAAAAGTGAACGATGTTGAAGTTTTCTATTGAAAAGTTATCTTCTGAAAGTGTTCGATGATAAAGTTTTCTATAAAAAAACTAATTGATAATGAAGTTTTCTTTAGAAAATTAATCAACTCAGATGTTTTCCATAGCAATTGTTCAGTAGAAAACTGTTCGCTAAAGAAGTTTTCAATTGAAAACTGATCTATGATGAGGTTTTCTGTAGGAATCTTAGCGTTGACAATATTTTCTATTCGACAATGATATTTACTATAAAAAAACACACACATATATAAATTAGATTTTAAAAATTTATCTTAATCTCTTCGTTGTAAATTTAGCGAACCTCGAAACGTCACCGGCGCTACCGAATCCTATCTATTTTGGAATAAAATTGGCCGTCAGCGAGTGCTACAATTAATCGAATCTAAGCTGGAATATTAAGGCCAACACACACTGCCTTTCATAATAAAACCCAAATGTGATAAAAAAAAAACAAATGAAATGGATCCAGATTTTAAGCTGCTTTTACAAATTTTTAAAAAAAACTAATTCAAAACGCTGTTTTTATTTTAAACACAAAGTAACTTGTATAATCAAATTTTTATGTTTTTTGTTGTTATTTTTCAATATGTGTGTGTGTTTTGTCCCTTTATGTTTTTTTCGTTAAAAAAATTATTTTCATATAAATGTAAGGAAAGTTTTTAGTTTTAAGGTTTTGAAAAAGTTGGATGTTATTTAAACTAATGTTTGATTTTATTAAGCAAAAGTTTAAATAATATTTTGTTTTTTCATAATAGTTGTAGTTTTGAAAAAATATTAGTATTAGAATAGTAGAGTAAGTTAGATAAACTAAAAAGCTGGCTTTTTTTTAGTTATGGTAAAGAGAATTTCTTAAAATTTCCATAAGATTTTTTGCCCCTGTGTCTGCTCCATAAAAAATCTAGCAAATTTTAGGAAATTTTTGTATATTTTTCTTGTTGTTCTTGACCCCATCCATACCTGTTGTTTCTACTCTGTTGTTGTTTAGGCCCTTGGTTCTTGTCCTGTTGCTTGTCCCCTTCCTTTGACCCTTGACAAAGTGAACTATATAGTCTTGTATATTGGTGCACAAATATACAATTTTCTATAAATTTGCTTTGAAATCTGTTTAGATTTAGGTTTTAGGTGATTAAATGTAGTTTATGCTTTTGGAAAATTTGGTTTCATTTTCAATTAAATCAATAAACCGCGGTTGATTTTTGATTAGAAGATTTTTAAACTGAATTTTCTTTAGCACAAGTATTAGTTTCTAAATGTTAAGTCTAGGGATTTACAAATCAAAACCTAACTGCACTGAAAAAATTGTTTTGTGTTTTTTTTTTTAAAGAAACAGTTTTTTACACTGTAGTTTTGTTTTAGTTTTTTCTCATTATATTTGTTAATTTATATTAATTTTTAGTTTTATAATAAATTTTCCTTACATTTATAATGTTAAAAGAAAATTGTATATAAATTGTTAAAAATATTGTGTATTTGTCCCTTAAATGTCTGTTTATGTTAGCGTACTATGTATGTGTGTGTGGCAAGTGTGTTATTTATGTTTGTGTGATCCATAACAAGCTTTAAAAGTAAAATCTCAAAAAAAAACTGAAATTGTGTTTTTATTTCTATGGAAATCTATGCCAAACCAACCCCAGTGATTACATTTTTTCTGCTAATATTGCCAACCCTTACAGTACTGGCCCCTCCTTTTAACAAGTTTGCTTCTTAACAATTGTTATAATGGGGGCTAAAACAGATTCTTAAATGGCAAATGTTATAGAAAATTATTTACATTTATTTAGCAAATATTGTTTAAGTCATTTGTCTCACTAAATGGTGTATTGAACCCGGCAGAGTAGTTTTTTTTTAATTTTTTCATTCGAAATAGAAATTAGAAAAAGCTTGTTGTCTCTATATGACAGACTATTGCATGTGTGGCAGATATTAAGGTGATATTCTAACATAGTTTTCTTTTAATGTGAACAAAGTCGTAATTAAATTCGTGATTTGAAAAGTTTTAGACAAAGTAATAGAATGAGGATTTTGAAAACACGTCAGACTTTTGTTATTTGTTCGATAGGAAGTTAATTTCGGATGACAATAGGTTGATAGTGTTAGGTTTTCATGGTTTCGATAATATATAACATGTTTTGATAACTTCTTTTAATATATAAAAGACTTCAGAATCAAATAATTCAAATTATGCATTACTAAAAAGTTTTCTACAGAAAATTTCAATAATGATCAATTTTTTATAAAAAAAAACATAACTATTCACCAGTTCTTTATAGATGAAATCATTTAGTTCTTTTATATAGTTCGTTTAGTTCTTTTTAGAGAAAACATTATCAGTGATCAGTTTTCTATAAAACACATTCTAAGTGATTGATTTTATTTAGACAGATTATTCAGCGTTCAGTTTTCAATAGACAGTTTATTCCGCAATCAGTTTATAATAGATAATTTTTTCTGCGATCAGTTTCTTAAAGAAAAATTCATCGGCGATCTGTTTTCTATAGAAAACTTCATAATCGATCAGTTTTCTAACGAAAACCCTATCATCGATCAGTTTGCTATAGTAAATATCACCAGCGATCAGAATTCCATAGAAAATTTCTTTGTCATCGATCAATTTTCTATAAAAAAACTTTATCTTCAATCGATTTTCTATAGAAAACTTTATCATCGATCAGTTTTCTATAGAAAACTTTATCATTGATCAGTTTTCTATAGAAAACTTTATCATCGATCAGTTTTCTATAGAAAACTTTATCATCGATCAGTTATCTATAGAAAACTTTACCATCGATCAATTTTCTGTAGAAAACTTTATCATTGATCAGTTTTCTATAGAAAACTTCACCATCGATCAGTTTTCTATAGAAAACTTCATTATCGATCAGTTTTCTATAGAAAACTATATCATCGATCGGTTTTCTATAGAAAACTTTATCATCGATCAGTTTTCTATAAAAAAAACTTTATCATCGATTAGTTTTCTATAAAAAAGAACTTTATCATCGACCAATTTTCAATAGAAAACGTTATTATCGATCAGTTTTCTATAGACAACTTTATCATCGATCAGTTTTCAATAGAAAACGTTATTATCGATCAGTTTTCTATAGAACACTTTTTCATCGATGTATTTTTTATAAAATGCTTCTTTAGCGATCAGTTTTCTATAGAAAACTTTATCATCGATCAGTATTCTATACACAACTTCATTATAGATCAGTATTCTGTAAACAACGATCAGTTTTCAATAAAAAAAAACTTCAACATCTATCAGTTTTCTATATAAAACATCATTCACTTTTTCTCTTAAAAAAATTTCAAACCTCATTTAAACACAATTAAAACCGAATCATGTAAGCTTATTCAAATCTCCCCAACCACCAACTAACTTACCTATTAAATATCAAGCTTACACCACTGACTTTATAAGACTTTACCAAGCTCCATTTCAAAAGAAAATGTTCTTGAATTCCTAACCGTTGCACACCAAAACGGAAATACCAATAAAATTGTACATTTATATTTTATTAAAATATTTTATGTTGCACAATGTAGGTGGCATATTACAATAAGACTTCTTTCTTTACACACAACTCTCTATTGTCTGTATGTAAGAATTTATACAAATTACGCACAAATTATTACAGCTTGAGTTGTAAGATCAAATGAAGATCTTTTTATTTTATCTTCATCATACACCATACAATAGTAAAAGAAATAAATTTCTTTAGTAGAATAGAGTCTGTGAAAGCTAGATTGAATAAGAAATTCTGTGTAAGATGAAGATGGTACCTTCATCGTCATCTTCATCACCATTATTGTAAAAGACTAATGATGACAATGACGATAATGAGAACAGAAAAATATGCGTAAGTTTGAAAATGTGATTGTAGCAGCAACAATTGCAACCTACAGAGTATATTCTTGTTTAAAAGAGTTTATTCCTTGAAGGACTTATCAATCAACTATTAATTTTCTGTAGAAGACTTTATCAACGATCAGTTTTCTTTAGAAACGATCGGTTTTCTATAGAAAAGTTTATCAACGATCATTATTCTTTAAAAAAACTTCAACATCGATCAGATATCTATAGAAATCATTATCAACGATCACTATTCTATACACAACTTCAACATCGATCAGTTTTCTAAAGAAGACTTAAACTTTGAAAGAGAAAGAGAAAACTTTAAAAAGTTTCAACATCGGACTGTTATCTACGAAAGACTTTAACATTGATCAAGTTTTTATCTACGATCACTTTTATATATATTTGATTATAGAAAACACCAACGATTAGTATTCTAAAAAAACTTAATGATCAGTTATTTATAAAAAAACTTTTTATGGAAAACTTTATCACCGATCATTATTCCATAGAAAACATATAAGATTGATCAGTTTTCCATAGGATCAGTTATCTATAGAAAACTTCAACGATCAGTTTTCTAAAGAAAACATCAACTTTTCTATAAAAAAATGTCTGTAGAAAAAACTTTATCATCCATTAGTTTTCTATAGAAAACTTTGATATAGATCGGTAATCTATGGAAGTCATTATCAACGATCAGTTTTCTATAGAAGATTGATTAGTTTATTTTTATCTACGATCTATCTATAGAAAACTTTATCAACGATCAGTTTTCTAAAGAAAACTCTATCAACGATCAGTATTCTAAAAAAAAACAATCTACAATCAGTTTTTGTTTAAACTTTCTGTAGAAAACTTTATCAGTAATCATTATCCTAAAGAAAACTGATCGAGGTCTAAGCATTCTATTGAAACTATTCTATATTTTCTCTGAAAACTGTTGGTTCTTTCATATCTCTGGCTTTAATGCAGAAACCTTTAAAAAAAAAGAACTACAACTTTTCCTGTTTGATTGTTGTTTGTTTAGTTTTATAGCTAAAGTTTACAACAATTGCAACAATTACTATAATGGGTGTTAATAATAACTGCTGATAGCGAAGCGTTTACACTAGCAACAAAGTCTTTTCTATATAAGATATACATTTAGTAGACTAATAACAGTTTTTCTTTAAGCTCTCAGTATTCAAAATGCAGTTTTCGAAATCGATATGAATTATCTAACTTATAAAAATACAACTTATTTTAGCTTCAAGTGTAAACTCTTTAATGTCAACATATCATTATGATGGATGTGGCGTTCTCAGTTGTTGTCTTCTCTAAATTTATATGGGTTTTTTCATATGGCAAAGGTTTCCTCTATTCCATCTACTTCTGCATCTTCTGTTAGAATTTGTAAATAGTTGCAAAAAAAAATTCTCTAGAATTTATGCTACAAATATGTATAGATGGATGTATGAGTAAATAAATACATTTTAACCGGGAATAACATGACAAATATATGCATTTCGTTTTTCTTTTTTTTTTCTACCATATTATGAGTGTAAACTTAAGTTAAACTATGTTTATATAGTGCAGAACGTTAAAAAAGGGAAATCAAGGGATAACACTATAGTTATTATAGCGATTATGCCTCGAGGT